TTCTCTTTTTGGTCTGCACCCAAATTATCTTTTGTAGTTTCTGACTCTTGTGTGATACTCGGGCCTACAAGTTTAGTTCTGCTTCTTTTATTTTTAAGCTTTATGTGTCTTTGTGGTTTACTTTTTGGGTACGAAGAGCTGGTTCGTCTAAGCTTCTGGTTCTCTCTTTTGATTTTATATTGTCATGGTGGATTGATTTTGTTTTCAGGAGTTCTGCGGTGGCCCAATTCCAATGTGGGTCAGAAGTTTTCAGGCTTTCTCCTTAGGTCTGGAATCCCAAGAGGCTTGAGTATAGGAGTGCAGGCTAGGAGAGTTAGCCAGTGGTGCAGGTCCAGGGAAGCAGAGCGAGGTGAGGGCGGGGCCAGGACAAGAAGCGGTGCTCCCCAAGAGGCCTGAGGATAGAAGTGCAGGCTAGGAGAGTTAGCCAGTGGTGCAGATCCAGGGATGCAGAGAGAAGTGAGGGCGGGGCCAGGACCAGAAGCGGTGCTCCCCAAGAGGCCTGAGGATAGGAGTGCAGGCTAGGAGAGTTAGCCAGTGGTGCAGGTCCAGGGAAGCAGAGCGAGGTGAGGGCGGGGCCAGGACAAGAAGCGGTGCTCCCCAAGAGGCCTGAGGATAGGAGTGCAGGCTAGGAGAGTTAGCCAGTGGTGCAGGTCCAGGGACGCAGAGAGAGGTGAGGGCGGGGCCAGGACCAGAAGTGGTGCTCCTGGGGCCCAAGAAAGGCACTCAGTTGGTCCCAAGAGGCCTGAGGATAGGAGTGCAAATAAGTAGTCTTTTAGTATTTGCAGATTTTTTAAAAATTTATTATTTGTATTTAAAATTTTTAAAAAATTTTATGTGTTTGAGTATTTTGCCTGCATGTACCCTTGTCGTGCAGTGCCTGAAAGAGGGCGTCAGAGCCTCTGGAAATGGAGTTAAAGGCAATTGTTAGCCATCATGTGGGTGGTGGGAACCAGACCTGGGTCTCCTGCAAGAGCGGCCATTGCACTTATCTGCTGAGCCATCTCTCAGCCCCTATATTTACAGATTTTTGTGTATTCTTTTTTTTCTCCTCAGAAAGATCTTGAATTTCTTCTTGCTGTTAATAATATTGTTCAGTGTTACTCTAAATACATATGTGAAAATGTAGTGTAAAGCATGTTGGCTTTCTGAGTTAGAGTCCTAGACTTTTGTGAACTCATCTGCATGCACATACACGATTTCTTTGAAACTTAGCGTGCATTTCCCTTCTGCACAGTAGCATGAATGTAATGAATGTAACCTTCCTTCCCTTGCACATGTGTGTTTCTTTCAGTAATATCATGTATTCCTTGCCCTAGTCTGCACCCTCCTGCAGTGATGAGTGATATTAATAACAGTAACCAGTGTTCCAAATGACAGTACTTGCTCATCTTCTTAATAAAATGTGACCATATGGTACTTTCTGTTTGCCAAGCCCTGGTCTCAGCTCTAGAGACACAGTAAGTTAGAGAGACAGACCTCACCTTTGTAAACTCTTTCCTGGATTTGAGTCCTAGCTCCCTGTGCAGCTGGCACAGTGTGACATGGCCAGATTGGGGTGACATAATTGACTGCACAACCAGCGAGGTGACATCACGGAGGGAGCCTCAAAGTCCCTTGGCCTTTCATACTGTGCTGTCCTTGAGGCCTTCTGCCCTTCTTGATTTGTGAAGTTGTAGAATGTGCCAGGATTGAGATCTCTAGGATGGTGCTTTTGCATGTCAAGTCAAACACGTAGACTTAATTGAGAATGTTCTGTGGGTGTCCCTTGTGGTTTGTCTTCACATCTGCTCTTCACTACAGTACAGAGATGATGGGGAATGTGGAGCTGGCCCCAGAAGTGGAAGTCAGTGCCCTGGAGCCTCTACTCTCTCCAAATGTGATCTCTAAGCTGCTTGACAAATATATGTCAACACTCACGGTGAGTAGAACTGGGCTGTAGTCCCAGAAATCACCATGGTAATTGTCTGTATTGTGATGAGGCACCTATGCTAAACCTCTTCAATGACCCAGCTCTTTCCTGAGTCTTAGAAAGTCTGTTTTCACTTAAAGGAGGGAGACCAGACTCTGCCTGGGTCTGGGGCTTGTTGAGGTTTGCATTTCACAGACATGTGAACCTCTGCTGCTGGGAGAGCCAGCCTGTGCTGCCCATCAGGCTGTCAAGGCCTTGTGTCTAAGCCCTGTAATGGCAGCCTGAGCCATGTTATCACTGTGTCCTAGTGCAAAGTGGCAGTTTGGAGACCAAGGTGACAGTCTGACAGCAACCTTATAATCACTAGATAGTCTAAATAAGATGGAAGATACAGGAAGATGGCATCTAAACCAATGCTGAGGGTTCCTGGAGGGCTGGAGAGCTGTCCTCTGCTGTGACCTGAGATAACCGGACTGTCAAGTCTGCTCTCTGATGGCCTGGAACTGATTGGCCAGATGATAGACATCTACCCTTGTCTTCTAGCATGATGTCTGTCCATAGGCCTCTTGACCCCTCTTCATCTTCATCTACAACTTAGGTTTTGGTGGTCCATGTACACAGAGACTGGTGTGGGCACTACATACCAATGGATTGTGTGTGAAGTGCCTGCTGTGGAATTCTCTGTGCTTGGGAGCAGGGATTACTGTGATAAGGTGTATCTGGTCTGTGCAGCTACAACTGCTGCAGGTAGAGTGTTAGATGTAACTCAGAGCCTGTTCTTCCCTTTTCCATGATGCCAAACCCCTAGTTCAACATCATTGCTTGGCTACGGAAAGCACTGGAAACAGACAAGAAAGACTGGAACAAAGAGACAGAACCAGAGGCAGACCAGGATGGCTACTACCAGACTACACTCCCTGCCATTGTGTTTCAGGTACAAGCCCTGGAGTTGAAGGTCCCATTTCCTATGTGGTTAATAGGATAGACAGAAAATACCTCAGTCTTCACACTGAAGTAAAGATGTCAAGAGCAACCCCTCCCTTCTATCTCTGTCTGTTGTTTTCTGGTACTAAACAAACTGAGGCTCAGACTCCTACTCACCCAGTAGCATAGCCTGGGGTCACTTTAAAAATTTCCAGATCTTTCTGGGTCTGAACTCATAGCTAACTACATGTTGGTTGTGTGTGTTGCTCCCATTTTGAGTTTGATTCTTTGTGTTCCTTACTGTGGTAAGTGACCAAGACTAGCCTTCAAAATGCCACACAGTTGAGTTTAATCTGGTGAACTTTGGGAGAGTCATTATAGCATTTTAAAGATACTTTCTTGTCACTAGTTGTCACTAGCCACAGTGCTAGATGTTGGGCCCATGTCCATTCTTACCCTTAGCTCATTCTTTGGCCTGACCCTGCTGTATGCTCATGTCCTCCCTTCTCCTTTTTTTGCTCTGCATAGCATTACTGAAGATAGGGGTGGCTGCAGGTGTCGGACCCCCAACAAAGAGTGAGGGTTGGTGGGTGTGTCTCTGATGGAGATCCTCATCTCTTGTTTGCTATAGAGACCAACACCCAGTACTCTATGCAACTATGAGTCCTCGGTGCACTCCAGTACCTTGTGCTTCTCCATCTCTTGGAACCCCACTTCCCAGCCTCAGTGTTTTCCCTTCTCATTCTTAGAAATCCACATTTCAAAGCCTTTGAAAGTAGGTGAACTTGAGTTGCTTTGGCGAACAGGCTTCTCTGGTTCAGCCCAGTTCCTGGCATCCACATGACTAGCATCACCATCCTCTGAGGTCCTACCTCCTGTCAGCCCTCTTGTCAAACCTTAATACCTCATAGATGTAGTGAGAGAGTAGGTACTTCCCTGTGGTAGAACTCAGTCTGCAGATAACTAGGGAATTACGTTGTGGGTTTTCAAGTAGTTTCTTTGCTTTTTTTTTTTTTTTCTGAATTTGGACTATCCCAACTGCCAGATAGGGCTTTATTAATGAAGAACTTTATTCTACATCTTGTAAACTTATTTCAGAATTCTTAAGTTTTCCAATTTTTAGATGTTTGAACAGAATCTTCAAGTTGCTGCTCAGATAAGTGAAGATTTGAAAACAAAAGTACTGGTTTTGTGTCTTCAGCAGATGAATTCCTTCCTCAGTAGGTAGGTGTTTTTGCCAGTGCTCTAACTTATAAATTGTGTGCTTTTTAAAATTTAAAGTAATTGTCGGTACCAGTGTGCTGTTATTCAGAAATACAAAAGGTGGAGTAGACCTTATAAGGGTGCCCTAGACAGATGGGGCTCATGAGATACCATGTCCTAATGGACCCTTCTCTCTGAATTGTTCACGGTAAAGATGTTCAAACCTTGACAGAAGAAGAAAGAATATCTTGAAATCTGTTCTCCCATCATCCTGGCCCAAGCTCTTCTAAGTATGCTTATCTGGCTTCTTCTCCTCCCCTCTTGGTACCCCTTTGTGCCTCCCTTCTGGTGCTCTGACGCCCAGATGTTGTGGTTACTCATGCCCCATATTCTCTGCTATAACAACAGTGACTCCAGTCACACAGTGGACACCTAGCAGCTTGTGTCAGAGTTCATAGCCTCAGCTTCTAGGTTGGCAGGTCCATGTCACTGTAGTCTTTAGGGTTCTTAGGTCTCTGGAAGGGCTGCCCCTTCCTCTCTTCCAGTAGCCATTCCAGAGGCTGCCATGGATCTCTATTTACCAGTGTTCTAGTTTGCCTTCAATTGCTGTGACAAAACACTCTAACCAATACCAACTTTTGGAAAGGGCTTATTTGGCTTATATCTCCCAGGTCAAATTCATCATGGAAGGAGTCCAAGGTAGGAACTCAGGGCAGGAACCTGGAGGCAGGAGCTGGAACACAGGCCATGGAGGAATGTTGCTTACTGGCTTGCTCTCCTGTCCCATGCTCGGCTTGCTTTCTTATACAATACAGGGCCACCTACCCAGGAGTGGCACCACCTACAGTGGGCTGGGCCCTCCCACTCACTCAAAACAAGAAAATACCTCACAGATATGACCACAGGCCCGTTCAATGGAGGCAATTCCCCAGTTGAGGCTCCCTCAACCCAGGTGTGTCAAGTTGACAACTAAAGCTGTCTACAACCAGTGTATGTCTTCAACATTATAGTTTAGTGGTCATGTCTTTCCTGCTCTGGCATCTCAGAGGTCAGCTAGGCCACTTCCTCAGAACCTCATCTGCTACTGACCTATGGGGTCACAGCCTGACTCCCCTCAGTCCACACACAGAACCACAGCTGCCAAAGGATCACAGCTGACTCCTCTTAGTCCACCCACAAAATCACATAAAATACCCACAGGGTTACAACCGACTCCCCTCAGTCTACCAACAGTACCACAGCTGATGTCCTCAGTTCACCTACAGTTACAACTAGTCTCTTAAGTTCACTCAAAGAATTATTGTCAGAGTCCCTAAGGATATCTATTCTCAGGGTCACTGCCAAGTCAATCATCACTTTTGAGGTGGGGATCTTCTGTGAAGAGGATTGTTCCCTGGTTGATCTGGAACCACACTTGAGCAAAATGAAAGTAAATACATAATTCTTCTCATTTAATTGCCAATTTTAGGTTAACGTGTCAAAAAATGTATATAGAGCATTCACTGAGCTGCTCTGTTCCAGTATGTATTCAAGAATCCCTTCAAAAATAAAGCATGACATCCAAGGTGTTTGTTTTCCTGATACTTCAAGAATTAAGTTATTTCCTTTTTTAATATTATTTTTATTTTATGTGTATGAGTGTATTACCTGCATGTATGTAAGTGCACCCATGTTGTGCAGTGCCTGCAGAGGACAGAAGAGAGTATCAGATCCCCTGGAACTGGAGTTACAGGTTGTTGTTAGCCACCATGTGGCCATGTGGGTGCTGGGAACTGAACCTGGGTCCTTTGAGAGAGCAGCCAGTGCTCTTAACCACTGAGTCATCTCTCTAACCCCAAGAAGTTATTTCTGATTTTATTTCTTCAAAGAGTTTTGGAGACATCAATGTGTTGTTATTGTCCTTTTGAGACAAGGTCTCCCTGTAGCCCCAGGTGGCCTGGAATTTGCTATGTAGACTAGGCTGGCCTCAATCTCATAGAGATATGCCTGCCTCAGCCTTGCAAGTGATAAGATTAAAGGCATGTGCCACCATACCCAGGTGACATCAGTGTTTGATAATGTTCCTCACACTGTTGTGAGGTTTTTAAAAGATTTTTATTTTTTTATTATTTTGTTGGGGGTGGGCGTGTGCCACAGTGTGTATGTGGAAGTTAGAGGATAACTTGTGGAGTTGGTTTTCTCCTTTCACCTTTATGTGGGTTCCAGGGATTGAATTCAAGTCACGAGGCTTGTATAGGAAGCACCTTTACCCACTGATCCATCTCTCTGGCCCTGTTGTGTTTGTTTTTGTGAATTGTTCATGAGATAAAATAAGGAGATGCTTTCCTAGTTATAGTTACATGTTTCAGAATATCTTCATATCAGAATACTGAACTATATTTCAAAGTCTGGTATGAAATTAAATTTTAATATTCATTTAAAAAGACTGATTCTCTCTTCTACCATTGTATGGGCCATCTGAAAGTATGTTTATGTTTAAAGACTCCTCTGATCTAAAGGTGGAGATGTGAATTCCCTGGTGGCCATGTTATCCATGTGGCACTGCAGATATCAGTGGGATTCCCTTTGCTAACACTGTTGATGTGGTTCCAGATACAAAGATGAAGCCCAACTGTATAAAGAAGACCACCTGAGAAACCGGCAGCACCCACACTGCTATGTGCAGTACATGATTGCCATTATCAACAACTGCCAGACCTTCAAGTAAGTGGTACATGGGACACAGAGGGATAGAGGTGTACATATACAAGCGTGCACCTGAGCCCATGCTGTTTTCTTGCAGAGAATCCATTGTCAGTTTGAAAAGAAAGTACCTAAAAACTGAAGCAGAGGAGAGTCTATGTCTGAGCCAACCGACCATGGATGGGATTCTAGATACTATTGCTAAGGAGGGCTGTGGCAGCCTGCTGGAGGAGGTCTTCCTGGATCTAGAGGTGGGACTGGCTCCTTCATTTCTAGGGCTGAAGTATGGAGGGTCTCATACTGCTCTTCAGGCTACATTCTCAGCTGCCCAGTGGATGCCATACACAAGCCAAGCCGTGCCTTTGTGTCTGTGTTAAGCCACAGTCAGAGAGCCTCTGACTGCCTCGTATGATGCAGGACCCTTCCTAGGCACATTTCCTTAGAGGCTCCCAGGAAATATTAGGTGTCAAACTGGGGGCAGGTTACATGATAGGTCAAGGATGTGGAAACCCATAACAAAGTCCAGTTAAGAGCACACAGGTTACATAGATCAGCCTCACTTTAGAACAAAGTTGCAATGCACACATACACAGAAGCACTAATAAAACAAATTTCACTTGTACCGAAGGCATAATATACACTAAACAAGTAGGATCCATTATGACCACAGATACCTGTATATTTAAATGCCTTGGCAGAAACCAGTGTATATTTAAAAACTAAGACTGTGGTCACCTCGTGAGTTCTGCAAAAGAATATATATA